TGAAGAGTTGAAGTTACAAAAAAAGCAGCAATTACAAGCAAGGAGAAGCCGCCAGTTGGTAGAGAACAGGCAGAGCAGATGCAGGAGTCTCGTTTCCTTGTGGCTCTCCAACACCCAGCTCCAGAGTCCTGGCCATCTGGCTCAGCTGTACTGGGGGTCCTGTCCTTGGGTTTCTGTGAGATTCCTCCCCACAAATTTCTTGAATTGCCTTGGGGAAAATACTGTTCCTTGTAACAAAATGACCCTCAATCTATACACAACAGAACAAAAAAAGATCAATGTATTAACCAATCCCTGTATTTTCAATCTTTGTGTTTAGTTGCAATAACGAGATGGTTTATTTAGTGGGAGCAGGACAGAGGGAACCACAAAATCATTCAGGCCTATTTTTGAAGCTGGCCCTAAAAGTTAACCTGCCTCCCTCCTTTGTTTGGATGAGTTATGGGCATAAAGATTGGAAGACGTCTTCCCTTTTCACTGCGGCCAGCCTTCTCCCTGCTCCTTCGCACACATGGGCACGTGTGTGTGCACTGGCCGGTGGCTGAGCTTGCCATGGGTCACCCACCGGGACCTGCAGCGCACCTTACTCTGGCTCGGCGCCTCTGCTGCTCACACCCACCTTTATATTTACCTACCACTTGCCCTAAGATCCCTCGATATAATTTTTGTGCTTTCTGATCCCTTAATCTTTAGTGCCTAGTGAAATGCCTATCCTCAACTCTCTTATCTCCCTAGAGAATATTAGCCTAAACCTTATATATTATTTGACCTAGGTAATAGGTTTCTGATAAGCATTGCTGTAACAGTTTCTGTCACTCATAGTGACACATCTGAATGAGGGATCACAGATTTATTTTGAAAACAGTCCTGCTGTGTTTCTACTCACCCAGGCAACATGCCAGAACCAGCGGCTTCGGGTGGTCATCATTCACCTCTGGAGGCTTCTTTTCCTCCCCAGCAGGAAGCTAGCCCCTTTCTCTTGGGAGAAGCTGTAGTATCCTCTAAGGCATCAAAATGTACTGCAATGTCTTGTTTTCACAAGTCCATCTCCTTTAAGACTGTGCTTCTGGGCTTTCCTGGTGGCACAGTGGATAAGAATCCGCCTGCCAGTGCAGGACATGGGTTCGATCCCTGGTCCGGGAAGATCCCACATGCCGCGGAGCAACTAAGCCCATGCGCCACAACTACTGAGCCTGTGCTCTAGAGCCCACGAGCCATAACTACTGAGCCCACACACCACAACTACTGAAGCCCGCGCCTAGAGCCCATGCTCCCACAACAAGAGAAGCCCCTGCAACGAGAAGCCCACACACCGCAACTGAAGAGTAGCCCTCGCTCGCCACAACTAGAGAAAGCCCACGTGCAGCAACAAAGACCCAACGCAGCCAAAAAAAAAGATGGTGCTCCTTTCAGAATCTTTCATACATTGAGCACAGAGTACAGAGACTAAATATGGATTACAAAGGGCCTTCTTTTGGGGGTTCTTAGGAGAATGGAAAGTAAATGAATTTAAATTAAGTACATGCAAAGCACTTGCAGTGTTGTGAGAATTCCATAAACATTAGCAGCTATTGTTACTATTACGATTATTATTAATAAAATCTGCTTCCTTCCACCTAGCTTTCTGTCTGGGTATCCCTGTGGGTGATGTGCCATTAAGAAATAGGGAACTAAAAAGGAGATAAAACTTGGGAGTTGGAGCAAAATAATGAGTTCATTTGGGGACATTAGCTTCAATGCTTATGAAGAGACCCAAGCATGAGGCTAACTTAAAAACACACACTCCCATTGTCGGGACTCAATAAATGTTGACTAAATGAGAGAATGCTCATTCATTCATTCGTTCAATAAACGAGTTCTTGGCCCTGATTTAACCCTAGCTGTTCAACAGCTTTAAGGAACAGGATCAAAGTAAACGTAATGCTTATTTTAAATTGTATATACCATTAGCACTATTATGAACGTTATAATACCAAAAAACTGAAGAACACTGATTATATGTTTTAAAATTTCTTTCACCAAATAATCAAATATTTATTTAGTACCTTCTAATATGGGGCTTTAAGGCCCTGTATAAATAATCAATGTTCACTGGGCAGCAACCAATTTTGGATTCATTGTTCAAACATCCAAACTGACCACGAATGTTCTCTAAGGACTTAAGATGCCTGATTTCTTCATTATCCCTCCTTACCTATAACTAGTCCTTAAGTCTCCCTGGGATGTAGATGTCACACCATCTACATACCAGGGAGAATGAAAAATTCTCCCTAATCTGCTCTGTAACTGTAAAACATAGAAGCAAATGAAGAACGAGGAGGAGGAAGGGGAGGAGGTGGAAAAGAGAACGGAGGAAGAAGGAAGGAAAGAAGAAAAAGACAAAAAGACTGTTCTATGTTCACATCGCCAAGTGGGTGGCAGGTGAGGGGAATCGATTGTTCTTTTCCCTTTCTTTTTTCTGAAAATAAGAGGAGTGGAGATTATTTTAAAAAATAGGTTGAATAACAATCTGCTTCCTCTGGTTCTATCAGGTAAGTGTTCTGGCAGTGACTAAGTGGCAAGACTTAATAACAAGGTATTTGGGGCAACTTTTCTTTCCTGAGGAGCTACTGGAAACCCTTTGTATTTACTAACATTTCTCTATCTCCTTAAGCAACACTTTCATATCACCACCGTTCTTATTTTCTCCCTCAGCGTTCTACCCTAATAACCTCACTTCTTCAAACATCTCTGTGCATTTTATTCCAAAAGATTTTGACTGGAAAATCTACTCTTCAGAAAGCATGGTGAAAGCATGTTTCCATTTCAAGATTAGTAAAAGGCTCAAATTACAGGAAATTGCTCGTCTTTAACCAGTCAGGTTCCGTTGAGAGCAATTCACTGAGACGGTCACTATGGAAACCACAGGTGGTAGCAGGAGGTCAATCCAGTGACTCAGCAGGTGGTACTTCCCTTCAAGTCAATAGTAGCCAGTGCCCCGACAAGATGCCAAGCAAACAGCACACTGTGGGTGTTGCATTTTTTAGGTGGTATACACACTGACCTTCACTGGGCTCAGGTGTAACCAAATTTTAGATGAGCCAAAACACCAGCAGGAAAAACAGCAAGAGAGAAAGATCAGAGTCAAGTGGTGAAAGAGAGAGAGAAAAAAAAGAGTAAACTTCCATTCTACTCCGCTTTGTCAATCACTTGAAGGTTGGCCTCAGTGACTGAAACTGATTACTCAGGGGAAGCTGTAAGGGAAGGATGCGCTTTCCTGTTAGGCTCATTCTTATGACCTGCAAGGATAAAATATTGCTCGATGATCATCAGCTTTGTTGCCTGGAATCTTTTTTTTTTTTTCTTAATGAAATATAAACTGTTAAAAATTTGCAGTTTTGCATTTTAATTTAAAAAAGAAGGATCCCTGGTGGCATTTTGGTAGCAGCTTGGCTAACAGGCTCTCTTGACGATGGCACTATTGACATTTTGGACCGGATAATTCTTCCTTGTGAGGGTTCTGTCTTGTGCCTTGCAGGATGTTAGCAGCATCCATCTCTGGCTTCTACTTACCAGATGCCAGTGACAGTATTACCCAGCCCAAGCTCGCTCTGCTCACCACATTACAGGCCAATAAATCGGGAGACGAGTTGTTGGGGGCAAGGAATAACGCCTTGAATCGGAAAGCCAGCAGACGGAGAAAATGGCAGACTTCAAAACACCGTCTTGCCTCAGTCCGAATTCGGGCTCCTTTTATACAGAGGAAGGGGAGGGGGAGAGGCCCACCGCGGTGCCAACCAATGGCTGAGCAGGACCGCTATCGGTGGCACCTGCCCCGCCCCTATTACAACTTCTACCCCTACCCAGTTGGTTGTAACAATAAAAAATGTCTCTAGACATTGTCAGATGTCCCCAGGGCAACACAACTGCCCCCAGTTGAGAACCACAGGTCCAAAGGTAAAACGCCTTGCTCCCAGGTGTCTGGGAGCTGTGAATCCAGACTCTTCTTTAACATTTTTGAGGAAAAAAGTTTTTTAAATTGAACTTTAAGCTTCAGTGCCAGAGGAATAAAGGAATAAAGTTTTCCCCCTCCCTAGACATTTGCAATATATGTGCCAAGTATAATATATATATACTATATATAATTACTTTATACTGTTTTTTAGAAAATGCTTCTGTCCATTCATTTTATCGACCTCTCTCTTTGACTTCAAGTTGAGAACTCCATCATCATACTTGAGAGTAAGCTCTGTGACCATTCACCCTCCATCATTTCCCTCTACACTGACCTCAAGTAAACATGAGAAAGAAAGATGGCAAACATGGAAATTTTCAAAAGTGATCAAATGGCTTGTGGATAGGCCAGAACACTGTACTAGTACTAGGGTTTCCATCACTGAATACCCTTGCCCATCACCTTCAATAAGCAAAAAAATCTGTGGTCCTCCTTTATGTTTTGTAAAATTTAAGAAAAAATATAGCACAGTTAAAAAGAAATCAAGCAAAAGGGAAAACTGGGGCTTTGTTTTTTAACTACATGACCGGATATATGCACTCTCATCCCCTGTCCCCTAAGAGTAACGGCTGGGTCCTGTTTCAGTTACTGTGATTACTCTTCAACAGAACAATAACATCAGAAAGGTATCCTGTAAACATCTATTTGGCCTAACTTTAAATATGTGATTGAATTTTGGTATATGGATATATTTTCAATAATTTTAATCAATTATTTCAATTAATTTATTCAAATTGAGGTGTGGTATGGGTGACAAAAAATACCTTGAATATTTTCATCAAAATGAGTTTAACCAGGGACTTCCCTGGTGGTCCAGTGGTAAAGAATCCACCTTCCAATGCAGGGGACACGGGTTCGATCCCTGGTCGGGGAACTAAGATCCCACATGCCACGTGGCAACTAAGCCCGCGCACCACAACTACTGAGCTTGTGCGCCACACTAGAGAGAAGCCCACGTACCGCAACGAAAGATCCTGCATGCCGCAACTAACACACGGTGTAGCCAAAAAATAAAATAAAGAAATAAATAAAATGTTAAAACACAACTTACATTGATTAAAAAAAAGAATGTAACCAGCTATAATGCATAGTTCAATTAATTTAATCAACTTTTTGTTGTATCAAATCTAATTTTTATTATTAGAACCATCAAAAAATTGAGCCACATTTTTTTATTCATGCATGTGGACGATTTTTTTTTTTTTTTACTATTTCAGGACAAAATATATTTTAAGGCAGCATTCTCCTTACATAGGGACATTCTGCATTCCTTGGCTTATGGAGGACAAAGGCATTAAGGAAAAAGAGCTAAGTCATGAAAATACATAACTAAAATCATAAGCAAATATTCTGCCAGGGACCCAAGTCTGGGTTTTATTTTATGTCAACAAACACTTACTGCGCACCCACTATATGCCAAGTGCTAAGTGTTGAGCTTGGCTGCTTTCTCTCCCATGGTCACTCCCAATCATGTAACAGTTACTTTCACTTAAAACCAATATTAAATTAATATCACTTAAGTGAATATCACTTAAGACAAATATTTAAATAGCACCTTACAAATGAACTGCACTTTCACTTACATTAATTTCAGGATAAGTAAAAAAATTACTGTGCACTAAACAGTGATCTGAGATCTCCTATACAGAAATACGAATCGGTATGAAATCATAATGACAATGGGAATGAAAGTGGGTGGCTGTAGCAGCCACAGGAAATGTGCCACTCAGATCTCCTTCAAGAGAACTGGCAGTGGGGAGCGTCGTTTCCTAAGAACCCCAGCTGCAAAGCCTCTGGATCCACCACCAGGCTCCTGTCGAGCTACACTTTCCTGGGCTGTTCCCAGCCAGTGACTTAGCACAGCAGGGGTCTTAGTGCTGGCCTGTCATCAAGGGGCTCAGGGCTTCTCTGACAGGCAACTCTGTCTCAAGGACTCCCCACTGGCTTGGCTAAAGGCCTCCTAGAGCTGCATTGCAGTCTGAGGCGCTTCCTACTCAGACCTTCTTTCCACCTCCTGTCACAGGTGTCAAGCCTTCAACACAGGTGGAAGGCTCTTGCCGCCTACTCCTGTTCCCTCCCCTTTATCCTTCACACACAGTTCCCTCCGATAAATCTCTTGCTTGTCTAACCCTGATTGGTGTCTGTTTCTCAGAGAACCTGAACAGACCCAGGTGATACTGAGAGTGATTAAAGAAAACACATAGCCAGTAAGATGGAGTTTGGAAATAGGCTCACTCACTGCCTGGCTGATAAAAACTATCCTCTGGCCCAATTGCTGAAGATTTCAGTGGTGATGACCTAGAAAAATATCCTGATGAAGGAAACTACCATTGCAGGTGTGATGATTCAAGCATCTGAAAGATAGGAGGGGCAAAAAGCCTGTAAGGATTGCAGAGTCACTGGTAATTAAATTGCATTGGTGCCCTGCAGAGCAACAAAGAGGGCCATTAACAATTAAATGTAAGTGTGAGAGCCAGAGACTACAGGCTTTGCTAGCTTCCAAAGAGGCCCTCAGCTGCTGCAGTAAAAGTGCAGACAAAGCTGAGAAGCAGACAAAGGATTTGCTAATGAGAGTTGTAGAGCTCCTGAGACATTTAAATGCTCAGCCAGTGTAGGTCTGTTATGCTGAGGACAGGGCTCTGGTAGAGAAAACATAGGATTTTGAAATATGGGGGGGGAGATCTCTAAGGATGTCCCAAGGATTGGGGCACTGCAAACCTCCCTGAATCCCTAGAACTTGGAGAGGTGGTCCACCCAAGGGCTAGCACTTCCCCATATGGGAAGATACTGCAGAGGCTTCTCCCTTGCAATGCAGCAGGTATGGAGCTCCCCCCATCTACACTGCATGCTGCCAGCCCAATAACTAAAGTTAAATTCCAGCATTTCTTGTCTGGGGATATGTTGGCCTTGACAAGAGAGGAAAGAGTTTACACATCAAAGGAGCCATGTGTACACTGGCAGGAGCCAGGGGAGTGCTGCTGGGATTGGATTCTAAGGGGGCTTGATCAAGGGGGCAGGAACATAACACTGAAAAAGGAAGAATGCATTGAACTGGGGGCACTTTCTTAATTCATGGGATTTACCACCCTGGCAAGGACTCAGGAGATGGGGCAAACAAGTGTGGCTCTTAGAAGCCTAGAGAAAGTGATAGCCAATGTTGAGCAAAGTGGAAACACCTGTGTTGCTTTGGTAGCCTATAAACAAAGAAATGAAGAGCTGAAGGAAGTTGGCATGCTGGATGCATATATTATTATGTTAGGCTAAAACCGATTATGTTCCATGGGAAAGCCTAGAAGACACACCATTCACCAAGGTCAACAAGAATGTGCTGGTGAGAGGAGCACTAACATCACCAAAATGTTCACTGCTGGCTCTCCTCTGCAGGCCAGAGCTGGGCTCATTAAAATCTACGGTGACCATACCTTTGCCCCCAAATATATACCAGTAATAGAGGTCAGGGGGTGGTGCTTCACCATTAGAAGCCAGGAGGCTGTAATGATCAGCAAGGCTGAGGGACAGCCAAAAAGTCTTAATCTGCAGGGAACTGTGAAAACAAAGCATGGTGTCCTTTAGGCAAAACAGATGGGCATCCAATGAGGGTACTCCTTGATGCCTACAACCAGAAAAAGGCAAGACTGTAGGAGTAGGGGGGCCAAGTGTAGTCACAGTAACAAGCGCAAGCTCTTGCTCAGTTACCAGACCTGAGCCGGCTTTCATATCTGGAACCACTGACTAGAGAGGTGGCTGGGTCCCTAGGAGGAAGGACCTTGCAAAACCACAGCAAGTATGCGCAACAGTGGTTTCTCAAAAGGACCTATGACCGTTTACTCAGGGAACTGTGAGAAAGGGGGAATAGCTAGATATTGCAAGGACTTTTGGACCCAGAGTTTGATTCCCAAAGACCTAAAGAGTCATCATGATCCTGTTAGAATGGAAGCTCATGAGGGCCATTTAATAAATGAAGATCTATCTAAAGTCTAACTTATAGACTGGGTAAGTTATAAGTCCAAGGACTTACCCAGTTGTCGTTTCCTCAGTTCCCAAATGCATAAATGGGAATGATGTAGTTGGAGTAAACACCACATTGAATCCTTGCCCTGTAAGGTAAGAGGGTAAGGAAAAACAAGTAAAAAAACTTCTTAAATTTCACCCCATCCTCCCAACCAAGGTAAATCTAGCAAATAAAAAACAATACTGCACTGGGGGTGGGGAGGATAGGGAAGATTAGTGCCATCATTAAGGACTTAAAATATGGGGGCGGGGGGGCAGGAAGAGGAGCAGGTGTGGTTTCTTTCATATCTCTGTTTAATTTGTCAGTCTGACCCCTGCACAAATCAGGTGGATTCTGGAGAATGACTGTAATGTCAATGCAAGCAGGCCCACTCACAACTGCTGTGATGGACATAGTACCGTTGCTAGAGCAAACGTGTTGCTAGGCCTCAGGTACATGGTATGCGGTTATTGATCTGGCAAATGCATTTTCTATTTCAATTTAAAAAGAGGACCAGCAACAGTTCACATTCACATGGAATGAATACTATTCAATTCTGCCCTTGGGCTGTTAACTCTCCTGCACTCTCTCATAGTCCAGAGAGATCTGGACTGACTGGACATCCCACAGAACATTACATGTATCCATTTCATTGATGACTTTCTGCTGATTGGACAGGACAAGCCAGAAGTGACTAGTACCCTTGAAGCCTCGGTAAGACATATGCAGTCAAGAGGGTGAAAAATTAATCCTATGAAAGTTCAGCGATCTGCCACTTCAGTGACTTTTTAGAGGTCTAGCGATCAGGGGCATGCCATGGTATCGCTTCCAAAATATTGCATTGGAAGGAAGCACTGTGCCTGGCAGGCCCCTTTGAGTTGTGCAGGTAACATACTCCACACCTAGGAGTATTTATGCTCTGGCTCATATGTTGGGTAACATGGAAGCCTACCAGCTTTGCATGGGGCCCAGGGCAGGAAACAGTGCTGCAGGAGGCTGTGGTGCAAGCAACCCTGAAACTTGGGCCATAAGATCCAGCAGACCTTCCGGTATAGGAAGCATCACTGGTGGGAGAGATGCAGTGTGGAGTTTATGACAAGCCCCAGCAGCAGAATCACAACACAAGACTCTAGGATTCCAGAGCAAAGCCGTGTCATCTGCAGCGAATTAAGCCATTTGAGAAATAGCTCCTAAAATATTGCTGAGCTCTGGTAGACACAACATGCTTGACCATGAATACCAAGTAACCGTGTGTCCAGAACTGCCTGTTATGAGTTTAGTCAGACCCACCAAGATATATAAAGTTGTATGCACTCAGCAGCAGCCCCTCAGAAGACAAAAGTGGTACGTATGTGATTGAGCCCAAGCAAGACCAGAGGGTACAAGTAAGATGAATGAGCAGGTAGCTCAGACCTACACGTCAATCACAGCTGCATTAATGCTGTTTTCCCCATTTGTACCTACGGCCATATGGGGAGGTGGGGTACAACCAGCTGAAGGAGGATGATGCCCAATACCAGTGGGTTGGCTTGGCTCAAATTGTGCGTGTGAGACACAAACGGACCATGGCTGCATTAGAGACATATAAAGGGGTGGGCCTTGAAAGACAGTAGTGAAAGAAAATGTGGGAGCAAGGTACCTGCTCATAGTTTTATGTAGAAGTGGCCTTAGGTGAGATTCCTGGGCAGTGGTCAATGGCTGGCCCTCTGGGGAGGGTATGGGCATCCACCATAGAAGAGGCACTTTCATCAACAACCAAGTAGATAAAATGATCCCATCATTTGACACTGGCCACCCTAGAAGAGGCAAAATGGGCACATGGATAGAATTGCTTGTGGCAAAGATAGAGGCTATGATTGAGCCCAACAGATGAACTCCCACTTACCAAAGCTGATCTAGCTATTGTGTTTCTGACTGTCCGATCTGTCGGCAACAGAGACTAATGCTATGCCGATATGGTGCTACACCTTTAGGAGAACAACAGACCACTTAGCGTCATCTAGACTACACTGGATCCTTTTGATTCTAGAAAGGCCAGCAATTCAACTTCACAGGGATACCTATTCTGATATCGCCAGATACCAGAGCTACAAAGTCTCAGCCAGCACCACTATTTGGGTGTTAATAGAAAGCCTAATTCACAGGCATGAATCCCACCCCATAACAGTTTTTATCCAGGAGATCTATTTCAGCAAAGGAGTGAGAGTGGGCCCAACCACAGAACCCACTGATCATATCACATAAACACAATCTGCAGTCTCACAGATCACTGGAGTGGCCTACTGAAGACACAACGTAAGCACCAGCTCAGAGGCAACATGCTGAAAGGATGGGGTACCACGCTTCAGGATGCAGTATATGCATCAAATCTCTCGGATACAAGTGATGGCTCCAATTACCATCACTTCCAGTGACCCACTGGAGGACTCTGCTTACCATTCCTAAAACTCTGGGCTCTTCAGGGTTGCAAGAATTGGTCACCAAAGGGGGTACACTCTTACTAGGGTACACAGCAAAAGTCCTACTGAACTACATGCCATTACTGTCACCAAGGTACTTTGGACTTCCTATGTCCAGGGACCAGCAAGCTAGAAGAGCAGTCACCCTTCTGGCAGGAGTCACTGATGTTGCTCAGCGGGAGTCAGGGGGATGGGAGAACTATGTGCAGAACACAGGTGACCCATTTGGTGCCTACTGGTATTCCCTCGCTCCACTGCAGTTGTAAATGGATATGTGTAACAACCCCAGCCTGATAAGGGTGTGATTAGCAAAGGTTGGAACCCCTCAGGAATGAAGGTTTAGGTCACACCATTAGGTAAGCCACCAAAACCTGCTAAGGTGACAGCTGTGGATGAGGAACATTTAAAATGGATGATGGAAGACAGGATGAATACTAGATGTGGCCCTTCAGTGACAGGGGATACTGATGATCCAACTCAACTCCTCCTTAAGCAAAGTACATAGAAATCACGGAGTTGCTCCTCAATCCTGCAAGAAGTGGGTCTGTGGGGTGCAAGGGGTGCAGCTATAGGAATGCTCCGTTCAGAATTCCTTCAAGAGAATTGGCTGCAGGAAGCATAGCTGACTGAGTCCCCGCTGAGGGGTCCTGGCCACCACCGCTCTGGATTCACCGCCGCATTCGCTGCAAGGCCAGGCTTCCCCAGGGCTGCTCCCTGCCACTGACTGAGCGCAGAGAGGGTACCAGTGCTGGCCCGCTCTTGCACAACATGGGACTCTTCTGACAAGCAGCGTGCGCTCGAGGACACCCCAACAGCCTGGCCCAACCCTTTTCAGAACTGCACTGCAGTCTGAGGCTCTTCCTAGCCGGTGCTCCTTCCTTCCTGCTCTCCTGTCCCAGGAGTCAAGCCTACAGTACAGATGGAAGGCTCCGCCTGCCTCCTCCCGCACCTCCTCTTTATGCTTCAAAGACACTTCCCTCCAATGAATCTCTCGCGACATATCTTCCATAGGCATCTGCTTCTTGATGGAATCAAACTGATACAGAAGCTCAGATTTACAGACCAGTATTTGCATTATTTCTTTGAAAACACACCCAAACTAAGAGCAGTACAGATGCCCCAGAGAACTTTGTTCACCTTGTCAATCAAGTAATTCGAGGCCTACAATAGCTCCTAAGGATTAAAAGGGAAATGGGTGATATTATCAGCCTTGAGAAAAACATGATGAAATATTTAAGATATCCAAGAAAGCATAAAAAACAACAGAATGAACACACAGCTTAAAAAAGAAACCTTATCGGGACTTCCCTTGTGGTGCAGTGGTTAAGAATCCACCTGTCAATGTAGGGGACACGGGTTCGAGCCCTGGTCCAGGGAAGATCCCACATGTCGCGGAGCAACTAAGCCTGTGCGCCACAACTACTGAGCCTGTGCTCTAGAGCCCGCGTGACACAACTACTGAGCCCACGTGCCACAACCACTGAAGCCCGCGCACCTAGAGCCTGTGCTCTGCAACAAGAGAAGCCACCCCAGGGAGAAACCAGTGCACTGCAACGAAGAGTAGCCCCTGCTCAACGCCAACTAGAGAAGGCCTGCGTGCAGCCATGAAGACCCAAAACAACCAAAAATAAAATAAATTTATATATATAAAAACAAACCTTATTAAAAGAGTTGAAATCTCCTGTGTATCCCACTCTGACTGTACCCTTCTCCCACTCTCCAGATTTTGATCTTTATCATCATTGTGCATATTATAATATTTTTACTACAAATATATGTTGTTTTTTTGGGGCTGTGCTATGCAGCATGCAGGATATTAGCTCCCCAACCAGGGATTGAACCCTTGCCCCCTGCATTGGGAGCAAAGAGTCTTAACCACTGGACAGCCAGGGATGTCCCTAAATATATGAATTCTTAAACAACATATTTTTGCTTTGGATTTTTAATTTCTTTTTAACTTATAATTTCCTAAAAATTAGACTTATATGTATTTATAATACAGTTTATTAAACTGATGACTAAAAAAAAAACGAACCTTTGTACACAGAACTATTTACAATTCAGTGAGATTAAAGTGAAATTATTTAGCAGAAATGGATCAAAGTCACAATGCTGAGAAAAAGGATGTTTTATTATCTTGACTTGACCATATGTTATAAATTATTGTTTATAAAAGTTATATATAAGCTTCTAGACTAGGGCGGCACAAAAGCCATGTGAATGAAAGGCTCTTGGTGCTGCAGCCAGGAGTCAGTGCTGTGCCTCTGAGATGGCAGAGCCAACTTCAGGACACTGGTCCACAAGAGGCCTCAAAGCTCCACGTAATATCAAACGGCAAAAATCTCCAACAGATCTCCATCTCAAAGCCAAGACCCAGCTTCACTCAACGACCAACAAGCTACAGTGCTGGACACCCTATGCCAAACAACCAGCAAGACAGGAACACAACCCAAGTCATTAGCAGAGAGGCTGCCTAAAATCATAATAAGGGCACAGACACCCCAAAACACACCACCAGAGGTGGACCTGCCCACCAGAAAGACAAGATCCAGCCTCATCCACTAAAACACAGGCACTAGTCTCCTCCACCAGGAAGCCTACACAACCCACTGAACCAACCTTAGTGACTGGGGACAGACACCAAAAACAACAGGAACTACGAACCTGCAGCCCTAGAAAAGGAGACCCCAAACACAGTAAGTTAAGCAAAATGAGAAGACAGAAAAACACACAGCAGATGAAGAAGCAAGGTAAAAACCCACCAGACCTAAGAAATGAAGAGGAAATAGGCAGTCTACCTGAAAAAGAATTCAGAATAATGATAGTAAAGATGATCCAAAATCTTGGAAATAGAATAGACAAAATGCAAGAAACATTTAACAAGGACCTAGAAGAACTAAAGATGAAACAAACAACGATGAACAACACAATAAATGAAATTAAAAATACTCTAGATGGGATCAATAGCAGAATAACTGAGGCAGAAGAACGGATAAGTGACCTGGAAGATAAAATACTGGAAATAACTACTGCAGAGCAGAATAAAGAAAAAAGAATGAAAAGAACTGAGGACAGTCTCACAGACCTCTGGGACAACAATAAACGCACCAACATTCGAATTATAGGGGTTCCACAAGATGAAGAGAAAAAGAAAGGGACTGAGAAAATATTTGAAGAGATTATAGTTGAAAACTTCCCTAATATGGGAAAGGAAATAATTAGTCAAGTCCAGGAAGCACAGAGAGTCCCATACAGGATAAATTCAAGGAGAAATACGCCAAGACACATATTAATCAAACGGTCAAAAATTAAATACAAAGAAAACATATTAAAAGCAGCAAGGGAAAAACAACAAATAACACACAAGGGAATCCCCATAAGGTTAAGAGCTGATCTGTCAGCAGAAACTCTGCAAGCCAGAAGGGACTGGCAGGACACATTTAAAGGGATGAAGGAGAGAAACCTACAACCAAGATTACTCTACCCAGCAAGGATCTCATGCAGATTTGATGGAGAAATTAAAACCTTTACAGACAAGCAAAACCTGAGAGAGTTCAGCACCACCAAACCAGCTTTACAACAAATGCTAAAGGAACTTCTCTAGGCAAGAAACACAGAGAAGGAAAAGACCTACAATAACAAATCCAAAACAATTAAGAAAATGGGAATAGGAACATACATATCGATAATTACCTTAAATGTAAATGGACTAAACGCTCCCAACCAAACGACACAGACAGGCTGAATGGATACAAAAACAAGACCCGTAAATATGCTGTCTACAAGAGACCCACTTCAGACCTAGACACACATACAGACTGAAAGTAAGGGGATGGAAAAAGATATTCCATGCAAATGGAAATCAAAAGAAAGCTGGAGTAGCAATTCTCATATCAGACAAAATAGACTTTAAAATAAAGACTATTAGAAGAGACAAAGAAGGACACTACATAACGATCAAGGGATCGATCCAAGAAGAAGATATAACAATTGTAAATATTTATGCACCCAACATAGGAGCACCTCAATACATAAGGCAAATACTAACAGGCATAAAAGGGGAAATTGAGAGAAACACTTTCATAGTAGGGAACTTTAACACCCCACTTTCACCAATGGACAGATCATCCAAAATGAAAATTAATGAGGAAACACAAGCTTTCAATGATACATTAAACAAGATGGACTTAATTGATATTTATAGGACATTCCATCCAAAAACAACAGGATACACATTTTTCTCAAGTGCTCATGGAACATTCTCCAGGATAGATCATATCTTGGGTCACAAATCAAGCCTTGGTATATTTAAGAAAATTGAAATTGTATCAAGTATCTTTTCTGACCACAATGCTATGAGACTACACATCAATTACAGGAAAACATCTGTAAAAACTACAAACACATGGAGCCTAAACAATACACTACTTAATAATGAAGTGATCACTGAAGAAATCAAAGAGAGGAAATCAAAAAATACCTAGAAACAAATGACAATGGAGACACGACGACCCAAAACCTATGGGATGCAGAAAAAGCAGTTCTAAGAGGGAAGTTTAGGGCAATACAATCCTACCTTAAGAAACAGGAAACATCTCGAATAAACAACTTAACCTTGTACCTAAAGCAATTAGAGAAAGAACAAAAAAACCCCAAAGTTAGCAGAAAGAAAGAAATCATAAAGATCAGATCGGAAATAAATGAAAAAGAAATGCAGGAAATGATAGCAAAGATCAATAAAACTAAAAGCTGGTTCTTTGAGAAGATAAACAAAATTGATAAACCATTAGCCAGACTCATCAAGAAAAAAAGGGAGAAGACTCAAATCAATAGAATTAGAAATGAAAAAGGAGAAGTAACAACTGACACTGAAGAGATACAAAGGATCATGAGAGATTACTACAAGCAACTCTCTGCCAATAAAATGGACAACCTGGAAGAAATGGACAAATTCTTAGAAATGCACAACCTGCCAAGACTGAATCAGGAAGAAACAGAAAATATGAAGAGACCAATCACAAGGAATGAAATTGAAACTGTGATTAAGAATCTTCCAACAGGGCTTCCCTGGTGGCGCAGTGGTTGGGAACCCACCTGCCAATGCAGGGAACACGGGTTCGAGCCCTGGTCTGGGAAGATCCCACATACCGCGGAGCAACTAAGCCCGTGTGCCACAACTTCTGAGCCTGCGCTCTAGAGCCCGCGAGCCACAACTACTGAGTCCATGTGCCACAACAACTGAAACCCATGCTCCTAGAGCCCGTGCTCCACAGCAAGAGAAGCCACCGCAATGAGAGGCCTACGCACCGCAACAAAGAGTAGCCCCCGCTCGCCACAACTAGAGAAAGCCCACGCTCAGCACAAGACCCAATGCAACCAAAAATAAATAATAAATAAATAAATATTAAAAAAAAAAAAATCTTCCAACAAACAAAAGCCCAGGACCAGATGTCTTCACAGGTGAATGTATCAAACATTTAGAAAAGAGCTAACACTTATCCTTCTCAAACTCTTCCAAAATATAGCAGAGGGAGGAACATCCCAAACTCATTCTTCAAGGCCACCATCACCCTGATACGAAAACCAGACAACGATGTCACAAAGAAAGAAAACTACAGGCCAATATCACTGATGAACACAGATGCAAAAATCCTCAACAAAATACTAGCAAACAGAATCCAACAGCACATTAAAAAGATCATACACCATGCTCAAGTGGGGTTTATTCCATGAATGCAAGGATCCTTCAATATACGCAAATCAGTCAACGTGATACACCATATTAACAACTGAAGGAGAAAAACCATATGATCATCTCAACAGATACGGAGAAAGCTTTCGACTAAATTCAACACCCATTTATGATAAAAACCCTGCAGAAAGTAGGCAGAGAGGGAACTTTCCTCAACATAACAAAGGCCATATATGACAAACCAACAGCCAACATCGTCCTCAATGGTGAAAATCTGAAAGAATTTCCACTAAGATCAGGAAAAAGACAAGGCTGCCCACTCTCACCACTCTATTCAACATAGTTTTGGAAGTTTTAGCCACAGTAATCAGAGAAGAAAAAGAAATAAAAGGAATCCAAATCGGAAAACAAGAAGTAAAGCTGTCACTGTTTGCAGATGACATGATACTATACATAGAGAATCCTAAAGATCCTACCAGAAAACTACTAGAGCTAATCAATGAATTTGGTAAAGTAGCAGGATACAAAATTAATGCACAGAAATCTCTGGCATTCCTATACACTAA